GCATGTCACCATATTCTAATTTGTTGAGATAGTGAATTGGTGGGTTTTTGTTAAATGTAGTTGTTATCTCAGAATGATCCCTGACAGGGTGATCAGGACCTTGACTGAAGCCCTTATTAAACAGCTACTTGCCACATAATTACTGGTCACTGGTTTCTACCCCAGAAAATCGTGTTCCAGGGTCACATATGTCCCGTGAGTTTGGGAACGCAGTGGCATTTGGGAAATCGCAAATATGGCTTAGTGCGCTTATTGCAAAAGGCTGTGATTTAATTATATTCAAGTATATTTCTGTCACCCTACATGACAAGACTTTTTGTCCCATTAAAAGAGTTTTTATTGTTGTTTGTGTTTTATGTTCCCCAGAGAGACACCATTTCTACTACAGATTTATAGTCCTGAGCAAAGCAGAGAATTTCTCAGATTTCACTGCTGAGGCTGTGGCTGATGACAGACGGATGAGACACTACAATACTGAAGCTAAATACTGGATAATAGTCAGTCTGTTTGAATATGACGGGATTGAACCTCTTCCAGAGCCATATGAGCCTAGAGACTGGTACAAAGATCAGCTAAAGATTCTGTCAAAAAGCACAAAGTGTTCTGGTGAGACAAATGCTTTTCCTGTGTCAATTATCAGGCGTGTTATAAAATTGTATATGTCTTGTTGGAAATATCTTTTCACTGTAAGCTTCTCAAGCAATTTGTTGTGTGATTGTAGAGATGCATGTTCTTCAGAGAATAATTGGCTGTAAACTGGAGACATTTTCTAATGGAACATTGATGAATCTGCCTGTCTTTGATGAATATGGATTTGATGGAAATGATCGTATGGCCTTTAATTATGACACTCTGCAGTGGATTGATAAAAGTCCAAATGCAAAAGAAATCAAAAAGGATTGGGATCGTCACACAGAACGCAAACAGTACTTGTACCAATACCTCAAGACCTGCATGGACTGGATCTCCAAATTTAACAACACAAATAAGAGTAAGTTCTGAATCTTTAATTAGCTCCTGTCATGTGTGTTTGTGTTTTTGACTAAATTAATCCATGAGATTGTTTCTAATTCTGTTTCACTTCAAAGGCAATTTCATTCAGTGACAAATAAATGCTATGAGTTAAGTAAGGAAGTAATCCAGCCAGTTGTTATCTCAGAATGATCCCTGACAGGGTGATCGGGACCTTGACTGAAGCACTTATTAAACAGCTACTTGCCACATAAGTACTGGTCACTGGTTTCTACCCCAGAGATATTGAGATGAACATCAGATTGGACAGAATTAACATTCAGCACCAAATATCTTCTGGAATCAGACCAAATGGTGATGGATCCTTTCAGCTGAGAACCAGTGTGGAGATCGACAGAAACCATGAAGTATCTTATGACTGTCATGTCATTCACAGCAGTCTGACAGAACCAGTTTCAGTAGAATGGGGTAAATATCACCATAAATACAGTCTTGAGTTAATATAAGCAAATGAGCAAATGTTTCTGCATCACAAACAGTTTAATTGTCACAACTCAGTTTAACAGTTTATGATGATGATATAAAACATTTATTTTAAAATGTGTGTGGTTAAAATTGCATTATTATTTTCTGCTCCAGGTCAACCAGATGTTCATGTCTTTGCAAGGAAATCTCCTGATCACAGTAAACTGAATCTGAGCTGTCTGGCCACTGGTTTCTACCCCAGAGATATTGAGATGAACATCAGATTGGACAGAACTGTACTTGGGAACCAAATATCATCTGGAATCAGACAAAACCATGATAAAA